TTTTATAATTTTAAAAAATTAAAACAAAAAAAAAAAAAAAAAGTTTTATTCTTAAAATACAATAATTATTATTACAATTATTTTATAGACTTTCTCTTTTTTTGGTGTTTACTTTTTTTTTTTTTTTTTTTTAATTAATGTCTACAAAATAATATAATTATTTAATGTAATTTGTTTTTAATTTCACAAACGAAGCAAATTTTTTTTTATTACATCTTGATTTTTAAGGCAAATATTATTACAATAAATATATTTATTTCCTTAATTGATATTCATATTAATCTATTATGTATTATTTTTAATATTATTATGAATACTTTATTATAATTATTACTACCACTTTAAAATTATTGTACTATTTAAAAACAATAACGACAATGTAGTTATTTCGTATTTTGTTTTAAAATACTTAAATTCAAATATTCATTAATTAGCAATTATTTTTTTTTTTTTTTTATTAACTAAAAATGTAAAGTAAATTTAGCAAAATATTAGTAAAATATTAAAAATAAATATTTATGAAAATTATAAAATTGCAGTTAATTTTTTTTTTAAAAATAGTTAAAATTAATAGTATATTATAAAATAAATAATAAATGAAAAGAAACAAGTTAAAATTAATCAATAATATTATTACATAAACTCTTTATATATTTCTTATAAGAAAAAGAAATATATTTTAAAAAATATATTATTTTAAATAAAAGGGTAACTTACCATTTTCATAAATCAAGTGTAATAAAAAAAAAAATATTTCACCTTTATAAAATGTTTGTGAAAAATAAAAATATATATCAGTATTTAGAAAATCAAAACAAAGTAAAATAGCAAAAGTTGTTTAAATATATTATTGCTACATTTATTTTTTGTCATTTAAAAAATTTTAAAATAATAATTCTGAAAAAATAAAAATTATTCCTAGAAATAATAAGAAAATTGAAAAAAAATAAATTAGGTAATTAAAAATTGTCCCAAAATATATAATACATATATATATATAAATATATATTTTTCTGATATAAAATTTACAAAAGAATTAACATCCACAACATGCTGGATCGCCATAAAATTGTTTGTGAATATCTAAATCAGTTGTTGCACATTTTTTAGAAGTAACAAAATGACTACCGAATAAGAAAAATCCAAAAGCTAAACCAAAAATAACTGAAAAAAATAATCCTACATTAAATGTCATAACTATTAGCATTAATAAGTAATCCCATGAATATATGATAAAAGCTAAAATCATTCTAATAGTATTATTTTTAAATAATGTTTCGCTTTTAAATACATTTCTATCTTTTGTTTTTGGTAATGATCTTTCAATGTTTAACCTAAACACTTTTAGCATGACTGATATTAAACCAAAAAAAAAACAAACTACCAAAGAGATGTAGTATGATCCTTTCTAAAATTAAAGTTAATCAAAAAAATAAAATAAATAGAATGAATATGTAATAAATTAACGATATGATTAAATATGTATATATATATATATCCATTGTATTATAAATAAAAATACATATGTAAATTGTTATACATTATGAAATATGTATTAATTATTAGTAAGAAAAACATATAAACATAAGAAATCAAACAAATAAAAAATTATAATGAAAAAAAAAAAAAAAAAAAAAAAAAAAATATCAAATGAGATTATAAATAATGTATAAAATTTATATAAGATATATAATTAATAATTTTTTTTTAATATTTACACTTAAGGTTTCCCATGATTTAAATAAAATAATAGTATGTGTAGAAAATTGAAAAGACATTGGCATAGATTCTCCTTTTCCCATTAAATCCATATTTTCTTCTAAACTGTAAATTATATTATTTTCGTTTCTTTTATGCTCATTAATTATTTCACTATACTTTTTATAATTATCCCAACATTCTTGAATAAATGCTAATTTCTTTTTACAACACTTATGAGAACAAGATATTGTAAAATCAGGTGTACAATTATTTTTGCTATTAGTAGATCCAGCATTTATATCAATACTATTTAGTATTAAAATTATAAAAAGTACAGATGCTAAATATTTATTCATTTTTCAAACTAGAATAAAAATAATGAAAAAGTTAAAATTGTAAGAAAGTCTAAAAAGAATGTTATATTTTTATTAATGTATATATTCCCTTAATAAATATATATATATTTTTTTTTTTTAATATAATTTTAATTATTATATGTATTAAGAATTTTCTTTAATTTACCAATATTGTATATTCTTAAGTGTATAATAAAAATAATTACAAAGTTTATAGATTTTGTGTTATAATTTACTTTTATATTCAAAAAAATATTTTACATAAGGCATTTTATGTATATTTTACTTTAAAATATTTCATATGAAAAATTATATATTATTAGTTATAATTTTTCATTTAAATTGTACTTTATAATTTTTCTAATATTCATAATCGTTTCTTTCTTAGAGAACTTTTTATTTTTTTGATAATTTCGTATAATTTTTTTATAAAAATAATTATTTTTTTAAAAATTTACATGCATGATATGGGGTTAAACTATATATTACAATTTTAATATATAAAATAGCAAGATTTTGAAAAATAAAAATTTTAAATGTTTCATTGTTTTAATTTATATTTAAATAAAGAACTTCCTATTTTCTTATATGCAATTTTTTTTTTTTTTCAAACATTACAATAGGTATATATATACTAAGATCTTTCTATAGAATAATTGAAGTTTTTTTTCTAACATTTTTCTTTTATTGATTATGATTTATAATTATTTTCAGTTAATCTCTTCAAGTTCACTTCCACAATAAAGTGGGTAAATTACAATAGTTCAAAAACGTATGCATTTTATTTATTTGGTTTTTTCTTTTTTTTTTTTTTTTTTTTTTTTTGAGATATATGAATATTTCTCATATGGAAAAAAAAAAAGAAGAAAATAAAATAACGATTAAAAAAAAAAAAAACATAATTTTCTTTTTTAATAAGGATAAAATAATAAAAAAAAAATATTCAAAATAAAAGAAAATATAAAGTTTATGCATATACATATATGCATTTGTAGCATATATTTTTTTAAATCAAAATTGTAATTACATATTTTCTAATAAAAGATGTATTAAAAACATTTCATCTTTTTCTTTTTTTTTTTGTCTCTAATTTTTTTATAATTTGTTTTATATTTTTGATAAATAATCTGAAACACCTTCTGCTGATGGTTTCATGGCTTCCTTTCCTTTTGCCCAATTAGCTGGACAAACATCTCCATATTTTTCATGATGTTGTAAGGCATCAATTATTCTTAAAATCTCATCAACGGATCTACCAATTGCTAAATTATTAATAAGGGCGTGCTGAATTATTCCTTTTTTATCTATTAAAAAGAAAGCTCTTAATGATACACTATCATCGAATAAAACATTATAATCTTTTGAAATTGATTTTGTAATATCTGACAACAATGTATGTTTTATGTTACCAATACCTCCATTTGATAATGATGTTTTTTTCCATGCTAAATGTGAAAATTTACTATCTACACTACATCCTAATAATTCTACATCTCTTTCTTTAAATTTGTGTAAAGCTCTATCTAATGCTATTATTTCAGATGGACATACAAAAGTAAAATCCAGTGGATAAAAATATAAAAGTACATATTTTTTTCCAATAAAATCCGTTAAACTTACTTCACCAAAAGAATTATCTCCAAAAACTGCTTCTGCTTTAAAAAAAGGAGCTTCTTTTCCTACATACATTGACATTTTATTAAAAATAAAGATCAAAAATATTTTTTTTTTATTTTTTCTTAATAGATAAATGTAAACATAAAATTACAGCTAATTTTAATGAAAATATATTTTAGTAATATTAATATATATATTCACATAAAAAGAAAAAAGAGCAAAAAAAAATAATGTATAATTTTGTGAAACTTTTAATATTCTATCGATATAAAAATAAAATTTTTAAATAACTATTAAGTATAATAAATAAAAATATTTTATATGGATTAAAAAAAAAAAAAAAAAAAATTATATAAATAATTACAAAAATGATATTTTTGAGTCAAAAATTTTAACAAATCTTGTAGCTTTTTTTCTCCACAAAGCAAAAAAAAAAAAAAAATAAAATAAAAAACTGTTATTTATATACCGTTTTAAAATATTTTTTTTTAAAATTTACATTTTACTTTTTCATAAGAAAATAAAAAAAGGAAATAATTATATCTATTTTTTTTTTTTTTTTTAATTTATTATTACATTTAAATTATAAAAAAGTGATTATAATTGAATCAGACATATTTAAAAAAAAGTAGGATATATACCCTTCTATAATTCCATTGCAATATTTTATTTAAAAATTTTCTTTTTTAATTGTGATTATATATATATATTGTAAATATCTTATATCTTTAATTTTTTTTTTTTTTTTTTTTTTTATTAAACTTCATATATTTTTAAATTTTCCATGTATAAGATTGCAATATTCAATCTTCGAGGAACATTTAACTTATTTTATTGCTTTAGCTTTTTGATATAAAAGTAATAAGAAAATAATAGGTTGAAATTATTTTTATATTTAAGTAGATTACCAGAATGAAAAGATAATATTTAATAACTTTTTTTATTTAAAATATAGAATCCTTAAAACATTTTTGAAATTTTTTAAATAAATATTTATGAAAGAAAAAAAACATTTTAAAGAAATTGAATCTACTAAGGTACATATATATTTATTTGAGTAAATGATGTAGATAATATTTTCACTGCATCAATAATTTTATTAAATATATTATCAATATATTTCTATTAAATTTACGTGAAACTGAAATAATATAAAAAACTGTTAAGAATTAATATCACAATGAAAATAAATAAAAAAAATAGTACTATCAAATCTATGTTTTATATATATATATAAACAATTTTTAAGTATTATTATTTAAAAGTACCAAAAAAAAAAAAAAAAAGATATTTTTTTTGAAAAACTTGTAAAGAGAAAAGAAGACAAATACTTCTTCGTATAAAAACACAATTAAAAAAAAAATTATTGAATTAATGAAATAAAATAGAAAATCAAATGGATATATAATGTGTAAACATTTTAAGATAAAAATTAATAACTTTTCATTTCATAAAAACAAAAGATACTCCGTCTTAATACATTTAAACGTAAAATGAACATAAAAGAAAATAGAGTTTATAAAATATATAAATTAGAAAATATATTTTGTTTATATATATTAGTATTATTACTAGTTTAAATTATAATTTAATTTTTAAAAGGAGATAAGTTATCTTTTTTTTTTTTTTTGAAACACACATTTTTACTACTATTTTATGAAAATGGATATTTAAGGAGTTCATTTTATATAATATATAAAGAAATTTTCTAAAATAAAAAAAAGTAAAAATATCGTTTAAACTAAATAATTAATGAAATATACTTAATTTTTCAATTCTAGTAGCTTTATAAAAATAAAATAAAAAAATGTTTAAAAATTATCATTTCTTTGAATAATCCCTTAAAAGTTTATTATACCAGGTAATTTTGTTGAAGTGAGATTTTTCAATTTTTTTTTTTCTTTTTTTTTTACTTTTTTTTAAATTGTTAATTATAAAATAAAAAAATTCAAAATAAAATATAATTGGAATGATATGTTTTTATTACGTATTCTTAAAGTAATAAGTAAAAAGACTTTAAATAATTTATATTTCTATAATTTAATTAGTAGAAATAAAAAAAAAATGAAAGTACATATAAAATTAATAAATCTATAAAGAAATAATGAGTAAAAAATATTATTCCATTTAAAATTCGACACTGTGTTTGTAATTTTTCTTTATTTTTAGATTATAGAAAAACTGTTACTTTTCCTATATTATTTATATATAATTTTCTTTTCTTAATTTTTGTATGTTTTTTTATTTTGTATATTTATTTTTTTCATTTACCCCTTTTTACTGTTATATTTACTTTTTCTTATGTTATTTTTTTTTTTTCATGTTTTATTTAGTTTTTATTTAATCTTTTTACATTTTCATAGTAGTAGATGATAATAAATTCCAGGAAAATTTAGATTAAATAATATTTTTTACGTTAATAAATTTTCGTAACTTTAATGCATAACTTATTTTATTTTATAATATATTAAAAAATTATATTTGTATTCTAAATTGATCAACAATAGGAATTTCTTCTAGGTAATCATTAAATAAAGAATGAAAAACATAATATGAAGAAGGAAAGTTAAAATACATATGATTCAAATTAATGGATTCTTCAATAGATATGTTACTATTTTCGCACTTTTTAAAATCACATATAATATCAAACTTATTTTGTGTAGTGTCTATAAAATTTATAATAGCTTTATCTTCCTTTTCATCCTTATTATAATAAGTATACGAATTATAATATGATTCATACATATCATAAGCTGAAGGTAGATTAAAAACATCAAGTGGTAATAACAGTGGTATTTCAAGATTATCTTCTTTAATGCCTATGTTTTTTTTATTTTCAAGAAAAAATGTATCATTGGCTAATTCCTCTATAATATTATTGCAATTTTTATATTCTAATTCAAATTCTGGATCTTTTTTTTTTAGACAATTAGAAAAATATAAAAACGAAATGCATCTTTCCCATCGATAATTTTTTATATAATCTAAAGACTTTTTTAACTCTATTTCTTTTTTTAGTTTTGCATTCTTATCTCTATGCTTTTGTTCCTTGTAAAATATAACATATAATATATAAAATGTATTGAAATAAAACTAAAAATATAATAAATCAAAAATAAAAGTTAGACAAAATAAAGATATATTTAATTTAAAAAATAAAAATAAATAAAATCAAATTATATAAAAATAAAATTTAACAAAGCTATATATAATAGCATAAAATTATCTTAAACAAACTAATAATTCATTAATATTCTTAAAATTTTAAATAAAATATTTTTCACGTTTAATAACAAATAAATTAAAAAAACAAATAATATGAGTTCTTTACATTAGCAAATTTAAAAAGAAATGAAAATTAATAAATATACATATATATATATACATAAATATTTATATAATATAATATATTAATTTTTTAAAACTATGTAGCTTATAGCAATAAAATTTTCGTGGAAACAGATGAAATAATAAATACAAAGATATTTAATATTGTAACAAAAATTATAATTATTATATAAAAAGAACAACTTATATAAAATATAGAAAAAAAAACATACTTTTTAATTAGTTTTTTGTAAAAAATTTTGTAAATAAAGTTAGATATATAAGGTTATTACTACTTCTAATTGTAATAGAAAGATAACTAAGCAATTAATTTTACAGAATTTCATCATAAATATATTTACTAATATCTCTTTTTTTTTATTTTAAAAGTGCAACTACTTTTAACTAAATATAATTTTTTTTTTTTTTTTTTTTTTTTTTTTTTTTTTTTTTATAATTACATCTTCCACTACTGGTAATAATATACATTGAAATTTGTGTTGTGTCGAAATAAAACAAATATCGCTCATCTCATTGTTTATAAATTCTGTTAATTTTGAGTATCCTATTTGATCTATATTTATATTTTCTTTATATACATTTTTATAAATTAAAGGAAGTCTGCTTAAAGAAAATCCTGACGATTTAAAAAAATATTAATTTTTTTTTTATATATATTTAAAAAATATAGACATTAAATTATATCCTTATTAAAATATATGCTATAATTATTCTTATTATTTATTTTTACTTATTTTTTTTTTTTTAATAAAGTTATTTCTTACCTTTTGATTTTGTCTTGTCTTCTGAATAGCTATATAATAAATAGCTTATTCTATTTTTTATTAAATTTATAGAATTTTCTTTGTGATTTTTTAATGCAGGAGTTTGATTTACGTGTAATTTTGAAATATATGTTTTTGAAATTGACATAGAAGTAAATATTGGTATGATGTTATTATTAAAATATGATAAAATATTTAAATCAATACATTTTTGTAAAATATGAATTATTCTTCCCAATTTCATAGTCCTAAATATATACGGTCCTGTGTGCTTTAATGTCTCAGCTAATATGTACCTACCTCCTTTGTGATTATTATCAGCTATATAAGAAAAAAAAAAAAAAAAAAAAAAAAAAAAAAAAAAAAAAAAAAAAGAAAAAAAAAAATGATTACATTTAATGTTATGAACAAAAATTGGATAATTGTGTAATAATTATACACATGTTAATATATAGAAATTATTCATTAATAAATAGTTTTTTAATTATTTTATACAATACGTAATTATATAGAAATTATTCATTAATAAATAGTTTTTTAATTATTTTATACAATATGTAATTATATAGAAATAGCTTGCTAATAGACAGCTATATAATAATTATATAGCTAGTTTTATTAGAGAACATTTATATAATACATAGAAATAAATAATTATATAAGAATTAATAATGTGTATATAGACAATTATAATGTGCATATATAAAAAAAATGTCAGTGAAATAAAGGTATTTATATACGTATCTAATACATTAAACAAGATTATATGAAAAAAGGGTATAGGATTTTCAAAATGTGTACATACATATATATATCGCTCATTAAAATAAGTGCATATATAAAATATTATTAAATTAAATATAAGTATGCACACTAAAATGTCCATTATAGAGCATTTCAAAAAAATTTATTATGCAAAAAAAGATATTCAAAAAAAAAAAAAAAAAAAAAAAAAAAAAAAAAAAATTAAAAAAAAATTATTATGAAAAAATTATAAAAAAATATTAAGTATATATACATATATATACGAAAATAGTTATTTAAATTAAATTTTTATAAAAGACATAAAAAATATTTTATTTTAAAAATATTCATTTATTTTTCTTACAAGATTGGAGTCTAAACCTGTCAATTATATGAATAAAAATTAATGGAATATATACAGAAATATTTTCATTGTCATCATTAGGATTAATAAAAAAATCTCTAGAAATACCTCTTAAGTATATACATATATTTTCATTATTAAAAGATTTCTTATAATATATTTTTCCTTTTTTTTCATCTTTTTCATAACAATTAGCTTTATAAATTTCAAATCTTCGTAATTTATCTTCTCTACAGATATTTATAAAATTATTATTTAAAATTGCACATTCAGGAAAATATTTATTTATTTTTCTTTTAATTTCGTTCGCTTCTGGTAAGATTCTTTCATAATATAAATATTTTATTATTAAATAAATGAAATCACTATGTACTTGTTTCATATCTGTAATATCTCTTTTTTGATTGTATATCTCTTTATAAAAATTTATGCAATTACATGAATAATTTTTATTTGAATTTTTAATATATATTTCTCCAGAATTTGATAATTCCTTTTTTATTTTGTTATACTTTTCATTTATGTTATTTTTTTTTAAACCTTTTTTTAAATTACAATTATTTTTATTAAATTCACATTTTTTACTATTTCTTGCAAAATTAGACGTATCAAAAGTAACATTTTTTAATATACTTTTTTCATTGGATTCTTTTTCACGATCATTTTTTACAAAATACAGTTTTTCCTTGTTATAAGATTTTAATTTCAAAGTCCCATATTTATTTTTTCTTTTAGAATTATCATTATTTTCTACATAAGAATAATTTATGTTTATTTTATCAGGAATTAGATGGCTGCCATAGTTAGGAAAATTTGTATTTACGTTATTCCATAGTGAATTAACAACGTCTTTATTAAAAATATTTTTGTTTTCAAAACATTTCTCACTATAATTGTTATTTTTTGACAAATTGCAATTGTGCTCGTTTTCTATTTTATTGGACACATTAGGCCTTTTTTCAGAAACACTGTATTCTTTAGAAAGAAAGGGATTACTCATCTTTTCAATATAAATATAAGTATATATAAACAGTATTGGTTAATACATATATATATATATATTTTAATGAAAATATAAGAAATGTAAAAATAATGAAAATAATAGAAGAAATAATGAAAATGTATACAGATTAAATGACAAAATAAATTAATTATTAAACTAGTAATATTATTGAGAAAGACAAAAACAATCATACTAATAATTTTATTTGTAATAATATAAGTAAAATGAATTATATTTATAACATATATTGAAGATATTATCACGGTGGTACTAATATATTGTAGTAAAAAAAAAATATTTTCAGATTTAAAATTATTCTTAATTATTTCTTTTATTATAAATAGAATAAGCTAAAAAAGTATAAATATATTTTTATGTATATAAATTGTTTATTGTACTTTTATATGATAAAAAAAAAAAATAAATAAAAAATAATTATATTTTCAATAATCTTATATTATTTTATCATATAAAATTTTATTAACTGTAACTCATGTCTAGAAATGTAAGAAAATTATGATGATATACTACTAGTAAAAATATTTAAAATGAATAACCAAAAAGAATCTTAAATAATTCAAGAAAAACAAATGAATAAATATAAAATTAAAGTAGAATAAATAACAAGTATAAAGATAATAATTATTATAAAAAAATATAATGCAATTAAAGATGATAAACAAGAAAAAGAAAAAGTATATATAATTTTGTGATTTCTTCGTAAAGCATTTGTAACAAAAAAAAAATAAAATAAGTAGATAATTTATAAATATATATATGACTAATATGAAAGTTTATGTAAAAGAAAAGTGCAACCATAGTATTTTCAAATAGAAGGTTTACACTATTACATAAAAAAAAGTGTGTAAAAATAATTATTATAAATAAAATAAAAATGAGTAAATGAATGTTATTAATGTTTTGGAATATTCATTAATTTAATAATTATAAATTATAAGAAATTTGAAATATATTGTCTAACTCACCTACAATTACTAGTAAGTATTATTTTTCAAAAATAAAACACATAAAAAAAAATAAATATAGAATATAAAATGAAATAAAATAAAAATTAGTAAGAATATATTCATATAAAAATTTTCATATATATTAATTTATTATATATAATAAATAATAAAATCAAAATATATCATATAATTAAGCTATAATATTCAGTGACTTAGCTATTTCTTTTCAATGTGCCAAACACGAAAAAAAATAAAAATAGTAATAGAAAATAAGGTTAAAATTAATAAATAAGTATAATTATGCTTAAAACAATTTATCATATGTATTGTGTTATTAAATGATTAATATAATAATGTTGAAATATATTATCTAAATGAATTTATATATATTAAATTATAATTATTCCATATAGACGAAAATAAAAAAGAATAATAATAGAAATGAAATGTAAATTAATGAAAGCATACTTTAAATATTTATTCGATAGAAAGTTATATTAATTATATATCATTTTTTATGACATTTGAAGGCGGATAGTGCATTATAAATTAAGAAATAGCTATCTATTTAGTTATCCATCATAGATTTCAGATAATTATATGTAAAATATGTGTAGAAGTGTGATGCCTTTTTTATTTTTTTGAGATTTTAAGCGTATATGTATTAATTACTTCCATATTATGCATGTATATAAGACATCCTATAGAAAGTTCCGATTTATATTCACAAAAAAAAAAATGCATTTTTAGGACACATTTTTTTTTAAAAGTAAAAATAAGAACATTTATTGAATTACTAGCTAAAATTTTTTAGAGAATAAAAGATAAATATACCCTTAAGTACTAGCTAAAAATGGTGTTTGATTACACAATCCCATAAAACTAGAATAAAGATGATTTATCCTATTTTATATTATTAATTTTAAACAATATATATTTATGTAAAATGGGAAAATATAAAATATAAAAATGAATATATGAAAATATCCTTAAAAAATTTAATGGATGAGCAATAGCAAAAAAAAAGTTTTGGAAAGGTGTAAAAATATGAAAATTATATATTCAAAAATAATTTGATAATAAAAAAAAATTAAAAAGAAGTTATTATGAGAAAGGAAAAAAGCGTACATAATTAAATATTTCAACAAAATAAAAAAAAAAATAAATATAAAAATAGTAACAAAACGTGTCTAAAAATAAAAAAAATGTATATAGAAAAAAAAATAATATGAAAATACAAATAATATATGTCTAATAATTGAAAAAATGTAGAAATATTAAACACACATTTGAAAAAAATTGTTAAAAAAAACATAATTATATTTACATAATATGAAAAAATTAAAAAAAAAAAAATTATAATTAAAAAAAAAATCATTATATTTCCGAAAAAGAAAAAAAAGTAATATAATAGAGAAAAAAAAATTATTATTAGATAAAACAAAAAAAATAAAGAAGTTTATATATGAGCAATTTATGAATATGTAGCCATATGATACATATATAAACATAGATAGCATAAAGTCATAATAGACATTTGCGATTTAAATATTTAGATATATATAAGATATTGAATGGAAAAATAAACTTTTATATTATAGATTTACAATAATATATTAATGGAATTAACATAAGTAATATTAAATTTAAGGTTAGTGTATATGTATATTATTTACATATATTTGTAGACAAAATGAATTAACGTAAAATATAATTTTTCCTAGAATTACATAAATTAGATTTGCGTGAATAGAGAAAAAGAATCATAATTTTTTAAAAAATTTTAAAAACTTAATAAATATATATAAATTTTTTATCTTAAATAATTTTATTTTATTATTATTTTATTTTATTTTTTTTTTTTTTTATTGTTTTTTATATTTCTTTATTTTAGGGTTTTTAGTTTTTATTTATATATATATTTATTAATATTTATATATTCTGTCTTAATATTTATAATTTATCACATGTAATTTTTCTGGGTGTTATAACAAAAAGGAAACAAACATATCAAATTGTGTGTTACTTTAATTATAAATAATAATATAAAATAATTAATATACGTAAAAAATATAAATAATTCTTTTTTGTGTGTACAAAAACTATAATTTACACAAAAGTATAAATATTTTTATGTACTTATTTAATTCCATGAAAAATTCTTTCAAATTTCATGCTTATTATATATAAATATAAATAGCTATCTGACTTGTTATAATTTTAATAATATTATCTTGTGATAGATACATCAAATAATTTTATTCTATCAAGATTATAAATTATAAATTATAAATTAATGAATATTATTCTTTTATTTAATATAATAATGAGATTCTACATGAACATAATATATTTTCAACTTTGTCTATTTTTCAAAACGTTCTTCAAATGTGTTATATAAATTATCTCAATTTATATATGATAACAAGTTTTATGGTTTCTATAACAGGTATACTTTGTTTTTTCTCTAAATAATAATATGAACTATTTCGTTTTTATTCTTTTTTTTTTTTTTTTTTTTTTTATTTAAACATTATAAAACTTACTGAATTATATATAATAATTTATATAATAAATTTTAATTTAAAAAATAAAATTAAAAATAAGTAGAACATACATATTTTGAAAATAGACACTTCTTATTTAACACCTAGATTATTATGTTAATATATTTTATATTTTTGTTATTTAAGTTTGATATACATACAATATAATAAACGTTCATACTTTTATTCTAAAAAATGTTTAATCCTATATATATCAATAAGTTTTTTTAAGTTCTTTTTCTCATATTCTATTTAACAAATTGAGGAATAATATAGAAACTTTTGATACTTTTGATTATATATATTAGTTCAAAGAAAATTTCAAAAAAATATTATATTGTATTATATTACTTCTAATTTTTATATGAACAAAAAAAAAAAATTTAAAGCGACTTTTATTCTTTTATTCTCCCTTTTAATATTCATTTGTATGAAATACTTTATTTTTATTTTATTGTTTAATTAAAAAGTTATAGTTTTTTCAAATATTTTAAAAGATGAAATGTTTTATGGAAATTAAACGAAAAAAAAAAAAAAAAAAAAGTTCATAATATAAAAATATATAAGGAAAATTAGGGTATCCTACAAATTATTATAATCAATATACTTTGAGTTTTCACTTATTCCTTTAAAAAAAAAAAAAAAAAGAATAAAACAAATTGTCTTAAAAAAAAAAAATACAAATATACTTTTTTATAACTCATTATTAAAAAGTTTAACAAAAAGTATATAAAGTAAATAAAGAATAAAGAAAATGGATGCTTAAATATATTGTTTATATAATAAAATATATAATACTTAATATGTTCATATTTTTATTTTACTTTTTTTTTTTTCAACACATGATATCAAAATATTTTCAACAAAATGATGGCGAAAGTAATCAACATAAGGTTTTAGTGACGTTCTAAATTCTTCACTAACTATAAAAAAAAAAAATATATATATATAATGATTACTAATTCATAAAAAAGATTTCATTAATATATGTTTATTCTTAAGAATAATTCTTTTTAATCAAGTATAGATAAAAGAGAAAACAAGCTAAATTTATTAAATAAGGAATTTAATAGATTTACAAATCATTAAAGAACATTAAAACTTAATATATATACTTATACTATATGAAAAATAAAATTTTCTAATATTTTATTTTGCTTAATTTTTTTTAAAAATTTACCATCAGCATTTTCAGGATTGTCATACTGTTCTCTTAGTAATTCTAAAAATTAATATATACATACAAAATATATACAAAAATTAAAAGGTAAAAAAAAATAATTATTACTTAAAGTTGGAACTAATTGAGGGTTAAAATTATCAATATTTTTTAAATCTAAAGGAACACATACTCTTCCTATATTTATAAAAAGTTAAGAATTAAATATAGTATAAAATTATTTGTATTTTTAATAAATTTTATTTTAAATAATATTACCTGTACCATTATGAATACAAAATGGGCTTTTTAATAAGTGATTAATTTCCTTACTATAATAAAAAATATATTTCATCATTTATCAGATAATTCGCAAAGAGGAAAAAAAAAAAAAAAAAAAATATTAAAATAATTTTAATAATTAAATAATTACCTAACATTTATATCTAGTCTTGGATAAGTAAAATGAAAAACTATTTCTTTAATATATGAAGGAATAATAATATTTGGATTAGTTTCCTTTTTTTTAAAATAATCATTAGGTGTTAGAAAACCATAAATAGAACTTAACTAAAAATTATAAACAAATATATATATATAATTATTTTAAAAATTTGATATGTTGTTTAAATAAAATTACAATCATTTAATATATTATTAATTTATTACTAGTAATATTATTACCTTTTCAAAAAGTTGTTTAGAATTAAAATCATTATTGTCAATAAATTCTTTGAGTTCATTGATTTTCATCCCTTTTAATGGATCCAAATTTTTTGTAGATGCTATTCAGGAAAAAAAAAAAAAAAAAAAATGTTCATTTTAGATATTCTTTATTTTGTTTTTTAATAATTTATATAATAAAAAGTTTTATTTTTATCTAAAAAATTAGAATGTGAAAAACTTTTGTATATAATTTTTTTTTTTTTTTTTTTTTTTTTTTTTACCATAAGGTAAATAATCAATTATTTTTTGAACATGAGAAGAACCTTTTTTAAAGAAATTTTGTTCTTCTAACAATATATCAAAATATTTATAACAAATTTCAAAAGCTCTTCTATAAAGACATAAAAGTAAACAAATATAATATAAAGTAAAATAATTAAAAAATAACTTTATTATTTAATTTTTATATATTTATTAGTTATATAATTTTTTATTATGATTTTACTCAATCATTGGATATTTTTCTTTTCCCCATATTGAAACTTTTTTTTTTTTTGTATCTGCACCCTAATATAGAAAAGAAAGAAAAAAAAAAAAAAAAAAGTACAATGTTGTCATGTTAATATTTTAATGCTTCTTATTATTTATAATTTTTTTAGACACACTAATATATACTATTTTTATTTGCAAATTTAATTTTTCTTTTTTGAATTACTGATAATATGTTCAAATAATCTGCTAAAGCAGCTCTAGCATCTGTTGGATAAAAACGACATGATTCATCACAAACCTAATGAAGAATATTATAATATCAAATATAATATACATATAATTTTTTTCAATTAAGTGAAAATAAAAGGATTAAAAACAAAAAAAAAAAAGAGTAAATTTAAATATTTTTATAATATTTTAGTTATTTAAAAGGGATAATTATATACCCAACAATGAATTCCTCTTCTTCCTGAATATACCCATAATATATTTTGAAAAGAAAAATCTTCTCTTAAAGAGGTATCTAGTAATACTATCGCTATTGTTAAAAATTTCCTATTTTTTTTTTTTTAAATATTGGAAAAAAAAAAAAAAAAGTAACATTGATAATAAATTTTTAATTAAATATATATATATATATATATCTGTTAAGTAATAATGATAAAAAATAATTATAGAAAAAAAAGATAGGTACCAGCAGAGTTTACAAACTTTTTTATCAGTACAACATGTTCTAATATCATCATAATCATTCATATCAATATCAAATATTAACTCCTATATTAATGAAATAAATAAAAACGATAAATTGAAAATGAAAGAAAAAAAAAAAAAAAATCTTTTAAAAGTTTTTGAATTACCTTTTGAACAGGATGAAACAAATCACCTTTTTGATCTTTTTGAGAAACTGGATAGTTATAAACTGCACCTATATCAAATTTTATTGGCACAAAATTGGATAATAATTTGTCTTTAAATTCTTCGGCGTTATTAAAAGACTACAACAATATAATATAAAAATTTTATACAAAAAATATATTAGAAATAATCTTATGAAACAATTTTTTTATTAATTTTCTTTTTTTTTTCTACCAGCCATCTCATATAAATTTCCTCTTTCCCCTGATCACTTTTTTTACATGTAAAAGAAAATTCTCTTTTAGAAAAAAAATTAGGATCATTTAAACGAGAATATTTACTTTTGTTGTCTTAAATTAGTTTTTAAGAAAAAATATGTAACAATGTTATTATTTAGTATTTTTAATTAATTATACAAAAATGTAAATGTAAATATATATAATACTTAAAAATTAAGAAAAAGGTATTTAAAATTTTTATGTTATTTTTTTTTTTTACTTATAGTTTATATCATATATATGTAATTTTATTTATATAAAAACATATATATGGAGACAATTGTAACAAGGAAAATATATATATAAATAAATATAAAAAAAAAAAATTAATAAATATTTGAATAATGATATCACAAGTTTTTTGTTATATATACATATACACTTTTATCATATGATAAATATAATTTTTTTTATTACCGTTTTTATAATTTAGCCAATTATATAAATCATTTATTGGACATAAGCTTCCTATCAATGAATGTAATTAAATAATTATTTTATCAGACAAACATATGTTTATATAATATATATATATATATATGATTATAATTTTATTATCATTTTTTTTTTTTTTTTTTTTTTTTATCTTCTTCTATGTTTTGATATATTTTGCTTTTATTTAACATTTTTATAAAATATAATTATCATTTTACTAACTATAATAAAAAATTAAATCATTTTCATTAACGACTGAATCCTTTATTTCATTGATTATATCCATTTTTCAAAAATACTCTTCAATAAAAAATTATGAAAAAAAAAAAAAAATCATAAAGTCTAAGAGAAATATTTTTCTTTAAGATATTTAAATTTTATTAATGAATTATTATGTATTGAAAAATTATGAATATATATATATAAAACAAAAAAAAAAGAATACTAAAATTAAAAATTTGAAGAAATAAAAAGTAATGCATGCAAATTTTTGAAGGAAAATTTTTTTTTTTTAATTTTAAAAATTTTCAATATGATTCTATAAGAAATAGACATTTATAAAAAAGATTTTATTTAATTTTTCTTAATATATATCTATTTTTTTTTTTTTCATCGTCAATATTTTTATATGTATGTTTTATCAGTTTTTTTATCATATAAACATTTTTTTTCCTTCTTTTTATAGAATATCGAATAATCCTTAAGTATAAATAGTTTTTTGAGATTTCTTATTTTACTAAAATAAACATACATATAAAATTAAAGAAATGTAATAGTAAAAAAAATATATGCAATTTCATATTATCTTAAGATTATAATACTATTTTGTTATTAAAAACTTATTAAAAATATAATTTTCAAAGAAAAAAAAATACCAAAAATCTATTTTTTCTTTTCTATATACATCTTAATTTTAAAAAGAATTATTATATACTTTCTTTATATATATAAATAATGATATAAGCCATTTTTATATTTATAAATTTAATATATTATTTTGATACGGTTTAAACAATTTTTTTTTATTTTTACTTGTATTAAAGATAATAAAATGAGATAAAATATATTTACTTAGATTAAAAGGTTATAAAAAATTGACAGTATCTATATTTCTAATACAACAAAAAAGTATAATTATATATTTTATCCTTATATAAAAATTAATGAAAATAATAATAAATTACTGAAATTTTATATTTTATAGAGTAATTGTAATAAAATATATATAAGAAAATATGTTTATATAAGTAAAATATTTAATTTTTAGAATATGAAAGTATTTAAAAAAAAAAAATTATTAATGTAAATTAAATATTTAACTTTTTTATCACAAAAAAACATTAAGGATTTTTTTTTTTTTTTTTCAAGTAATATTAAAAAAAGGAGCACAACATTTTTAAATCTTTATCATAAAAATTATTAAAAAGTGGCTTATGTTTTCAATACGTTCATATGTATTTTTTTTTTTTTCTTTTGTTATTGTAGTACAAAATGTCTATATTTGTTTATATATTCTGATTACACCTTTATTGAATTTTTATTAGTTCATGTAAATATACTTTGAAAAATACTAAATATGTCATTTTTTCTTTTATTAAAAACAGAGGTATCTATTACTTTAATGTATTTTTGAAATTCGGGATCATAATTTAATATTAATCTATATTTATATTTAACATCCTCATATAATGCCAAGCTTTTATATATGCAAGAACAAGCAATTAAATAAGCTAATTGAATTGGTAAAGGAACATCTTTCCTATTTAAATTTGATTCAAACATATTTATAAGATTTAAAGCTTGATTAAATTTGTTTAAAACAAGCAAACATAAAACTGTCCTTAAAACAAAAAAATGACTTTCACTGGGATATGCTTCTTTTTTCCATAAGCAAATTATTTTATACAAAATTTCATTATCATCTAAATAAATAAAATGATTATGAGATAAACCATATTGTTTTTCTTCAAAATAAGAATAACCTATAGTTTTATGAAATTCTAGATATCCATATATATTTTCTTCATTTTTTGACCATAAAATAGATTTATTCATAAATTTATATTTTTCTTCAGTTGATTTAGGTGGACATTTTTTAAAAATTTCAATTATTTTATTAGCATAATCTAAATTAAATTTTATATTTTTCTGTATTAATATAATACAACATTGATACATTAAATCACATAATAAAACATACTGTTTTGAGTTTGCAAATTTTAAAGAAAAATAAAATAAAATACTTATACAACTGTTTATTTGGTTTTTCTGTAATTTCCTATTTATAATTGATTTTATTAATTGATGTGCTTCATAATGTAAGCCATTTTCAATTTTTTCCTTTGCTAATTTTTCTTTACTAAGTTTAAATTTTTCCATAATGTCATATATATATATATATATATACATATAAATATATATATATATATTAGTATTTATATGTAAATTATTTTATTAAATTTTTTTTTAGATGTTATATGTTTCAATTTTATTTGTGTCAAAATAAATCCTTGTTTTTTATTTTCTCTTTTTTTTTTCAAGTCATTCACAACGGTATTTTTGTGATTTTTGAAATTCATATAATTTTATTTGTATAATTTCCCTTTTTTTTTGAAAATTTAATATTTCTTTGTATTTTCATAACTTTCATAAAAACTTTTATTTCTTTAATAATTTTTTTTTTATTATTACCTTCTTTTTTTTTTTTTTTTTTTTTTTTTTTTTTCAAAAATACTAATATTTACATAATTCTTAATTTTTTTGTTTCTTCTTTTAAATAAAATTATAAACTTCTTATAAAATAGTACAAAGAACAACAAAATATATATCTTTCTATTATTTATAAAATAATAATATTTAATCTTTTAAAAGATATATGAATTATATTGAAATTTAAGTAAAGAAATCTCAGTTTTAATGAAAAATGGACATTCAATCATACATTTTATAAATTCCATAAAAATAATTTAACTTAATAAAGTTTCTCAAAAATATTTAAAATTATTGAAATTTTCTTAAAACTTCAATTTAAAATTCTTCTCATACATGTACATGCTATATAAAAATATTTTTTTCTTAGTGAAATAATAAAAAAAATATATAAAAATAGAAAATTATATTTTTTATTTTGTTGATGAAAAAATTTAAAATTAATTTTAAAAAAAAAACAAATTAAAATATATATGAAAATCAAAAAATTATGTTAAATATTTAAAAGTTTGTAAATTCGTATTTAAATATAAAAATAAATAATAATATTTTTAAAATAATTGCTATCACAAACATATATCTATAATAATTTTGATAAAAAACTTAATAGGAGTATATATATAAAAAGAAAAAAAAATTATTATATTTTTAATGTTTGATAAAATTATATTAAAAATATTCATAAAATTATTTTGAAGACAATGTTATAATAATAATGAAACATTTATCTCAATTATTTCAAACAGTAAAATTAAAAATGAAACAAAAATTAAAATTGAGTTAATTAGGAAAGAATTTTATAAAAATAGGAAATTAGTTGGCAAATTTTTTTCAGCAAATTTAGAAAATAGAAAAATAAAAATAGATTCTATATGATAAAAAGAAAGAGAACTATAAAAAAAAAAAAAAAAAATAATAGTAATAATAATAAAATAAAATAATGAAAAATATAAACTAAATATATATATATATTATATAAGAATAATTGTATTATATAAATAATTTTAAAAAAAATAATGAAAATTAAAAAGAATTATGCTATTATAATAAATTTACAAAAGAATAAACAGATAATACAATTAAACTTGATTAATTTTATAGACACTACATAAAAATGTTATATATTTATTGATTTTTTTTTTTTTTTTTTTTTTTTTTTTTTTTTTTTTTTTTTCTTTTTTTTTTTTTCATTTTTATTTCAAAAATAACAAAATGAATAATATAAATGTAGTATGTTTAGGAGGTGCTAGTGAAGTAGGTAGATCTTGTGTAATAATTGAAAGTGAGAAAACTTCAATTATGTTAGATTGTGGAATACATCCAGCTTTTATGGGGATTGGTTGTTTACCTATATATGATGCATATGATATTTCTAAAATTGATTTATGCTTAATAACACATTTTCATATGGACCATAGTGGGGCATTACCTTATTTGATCAACAAAACTAGATTTAAAGGAAGAGTTTTTATGACAGAAGCAACTAAGAGTGTTTGTTACTTATTATGGAATGACTATGCTCGTATTGAGAAATGTGTGAATCTTATGAATAAGAATAAATCTAGTAAAAATAAAAAAAATTTTGATGATGAGAATATATCAGATGGAGATAGTGTTGTTAATAATGCATACAGTAGTGAGGAAAACGCAGATAGCGATTATTATGATAATAATTTATGTAATAACGGTGATGGAAATAATAACGTTTTATATGACGAGGATGATATTAATAGAACAATGGATGTTATTGAAACAATAAATTTTCGGCAAAATTTAGAATTTCCTAATGTTAAATTTACCGCATATAGAGCAGGTCATGTTATTGGTGCCTGTATGTTTTTAGTTGAGATAAATAATGTCCGTTTTTTATATACAGGTGATTACAGTAGAGAAATAGATAGACATATTCCGATTGCTGAAATTCCTAATATTGATGTTCATGTTTTAATATGTGAAGGAACTTATGGAATAAAAGTTCATGATAATAGAAAAAAAAGAGAAATTCGTTTTTTAAATGTTTTAACAAATATATTAAATAATAAAGGAAAAGTGTTATTACCTGTATTTGCTTTAGGTAGAGCACAAGAATTGTTATTAATATTAGAAGAACATTGGGAAAAAAATAAGCATCTACATAATATTCCTATTTTTTATATTTCTTCTATGGCTACTAAATCTTTATGTATTTATGAAACTTTTATAAATTTGTGTGGAGATTTTGTTAAAAGAATAGTTAATGAAGGAAAAAATCCTTTTAATTTTAAATATGTAAAATATGCAAAATCTCTTGATTCTATTTTAAATTATTTATATCAAGATAATAATCCATGTGTTATTATGGCATCACCTGGTATGCTGCAAAATGGAATATCAAAAAATATTTTTAACATAATTGCTTCTGATAAAAAAAGTGGAGTAATTTTAACAGGTTATACAGTTAAAGGAACTTTAGCAGATGAATTGAAAACAGAACCAGAATTTGTAACAATTAACGATAAAGTAGTTAAAAGAAAATGTCGTTTTGAACAAATTTCTTTTAGTGCTCATTCAGATTTTAATCAAACAAAAACTTTCATTGAAAAATTAAAATGTCCTAATGTCGTTTTAGTTCATGGTGATAAAAATGAATTAAACAGATTAAAAAATAAGTTAATGGAAGAAAAGCAGTATTTATCTGTTTTTACTCCTGAACTGTTACAAAAGTTATCTTTTCATTTTGAACAAAATGATTGTCTTTTATCTTTAGGAAAATTATCACATCACATTAGAATAATTAACAAAAAAATAGGCAAAAGAAATAAATTAAAACATGATCAAGAAGAGATTAGAGACTCCATGAAAGTAAAAGAAGATAAGGAAGAACCAGAAATAAATAATGATTCTGTAAATATTGAAAATCATGATACAAATACAAAATGTATTACAAATGATTCAGAAATTGTAAAGAATGAAAAAGAACTGGACCCAAATAATCATAACTTACATATAGAAACTAGAGAGCAACAGAAAAAAAGTTTATTGTTGCCTTCAAGAGATAGTGAAAACTCAGAAACAAAATTAAATTATGATGAAAAAGAAGAAAAAATAAAATCTAATGATATAGAAGCTATTATCATATCTGAACCAAAAAAAATACCCATACTTATTTATCCTAGTGATATTTATAATTATACAAATTTAAAAACAGCCTTAATAGATCAGACAGTCAATATTAAATATCCATATGAGTTTAATTTATTATATAACGTTTTGAGTAATGTGTATGAAGAAACTATTATAGATGATGATATTATTTTTATAAAAGATGTAAAAATATCTTACTGTAAGGAAGAAAAAATTATAAAAATAAATTGGCTATCAAGTCCAATTAATGATTTAATAGCTGATAGTGTTAATTTTTTAATTCTTGAATTTTTGCAAACAATAACTTCAAATAAAACTTTACCTGTTTGCAATAATGTAACTGATCAAAATATATATGATATGATTATTTCTTTTGTTGAAGAAAATTATACAAATGTAGAAAGAATTTCTAAAATAGAAATAAAAAAATTTTTATTGAACGATAATGTTAGAAAAAAAAATGAAGAAAAAAAAGAGCTTTATATTGATGGCAACAAAAATGATGATAATAATAAGAATTATAAAAGGAGTGAAAATTATGTGGATGAAAAAGATGATTTAAATAATTATAATAATGATACAAATTTTGAAGGGAAAGACAACAGTGTTAATGAAAATGAAAAGTATCATTTATATGATGATATACTTTTAGATTACATTGCGAATGATATATATTTTGAAAACAGTCAAGATGAAATAAATGAAATACTGAAATTTGAAATAAAAGATAATTCTAATAATGATGTTAATGTTTTTGTTGATATTGATAAAAGAGAAGTTATTTGTAAAGAAAAAAATATTTTAATAAAAATTAAAGAAATTTTAAGAAATATAGAAGAATCATTATTACCCATGTGTTTTTAATTTCAATCCAAATATATACGTATATATATTTGTACTTGGCATTTCTTTTTTATTAAAACATTTTTAAAATTAAAAATATAAAAAATATTTAATAAAAAAATAATTATTTAAAACACATTTTACTTTTAATAAGGAAGAAAAAAAAAAAAACAAAAAAAAAAAAAACAGAACATAAATGATATTCATATTATTTTTATTATTATTTAAAAATAAAATATTCTTTTAAATAAAATTATAACATTATTAATTTATCTATTTTTACGTTAAATTTCATATAAATCTTTTTTTTTTATTACTCTTAGATCAAATGTGAACATATAAATAATAAAATTTTTTGTAAACATCAAAGTAATATATTAAAATAATTTTAAAAACTTAAAAACATATAAAAAAAAACAAAAAAAAAAAAAAAAGGTTCTTTTAGAATATGAATACTTATTTGTATCATACAAAATAAAAGAAAATTAAAAATTCAAAAATAAAAAAAATGGATAAAAAAATAAATAAAAAACAAAAAAAGTTAATTTTTTTTTTTTTTTTGGGGAGGAGATGTAATGAAATTAAAACATTTTAAAGTGGTGGAATAATACTATATATAAATATAGAAAAAATTAAAAAAAAAAAAATAATCAAATTATATATATTTAAAAAAAAAACAAAACAAAAATAAACAAAAAATATGCTTAATGAAATTTATTGAAACATTATTTTTTTGTAAAAATTTAGAGAAATGAGAAAATAAAGGAATTACGAAACACATTTAATAGTCAAATCAATTATACCAATTGTATTTTTCTAAAAAAAAGAAAAAAAAGAATAAATATATAAATGCTTATTTATTGGTTGCAATAATATAAAATATGTCTTATTCTAATAAAATCTCATAGAATTCAATAAAAAAATAAAAAATTTAAAGATAAAGATAAAATTTAAAAAAAATAAAATTTTTTGTTAATATTTAATTACTTTTTCGTCAGTTAAAGAATACTTTCCATCAACGTTTCTGTATTAAAAAAAAAAAAAAAAAATTATATAAATAAAATTATTAAATATATATTTAATATATATTTAGATATATATACCTTATGCTAAATACACTTCTTGCAATAAAATAATTTTTTTTTTTTTTTTTAAAAAGTTCAATATAAATTCTTGTATTTTCCTAAAAATAAAAATTTTTTAATAAATTTAATATGTTTTTGTTAATTGCTAAGTAAAATTCATTTTTATTTTTTTTATAATTATACTAATTCAGATAAATTCAATTTTAGGTATTCTAAAAAAAATATTTTGTCTTTAATAATTTTTTGACATTTCGTGTTATTCCTCCTGATATATATAAAAATTATATTTATAAAAAATTAAATTATGTTTATATATTCATTTAAAATTGTTAATATATATTTATGTTGTTTGCATATTACCTTACATAAAGAATATTAACACTGGAACTTTTAAGAAAAGAACTTACAAAATATTCAACAGTTGTATCATTATTTTTTAATAATAATTTTACATCTTTTATAAAAATGATTAAGAATTTTTTTATAGAATTTTCTTGACTTTTTTTTTCTTTTAATTCATAAATATTTTGAATATGTTTGTTTAAGTTGTATAATTTTATAGATGTTTTCCACATAGGTTCCTCTAATTGTTTTTTTTTATTTAAAAAAAGACCTTCATGAGATAAAAATTTTATATCATCTGGCAAATAATCAGTTGAAAAAGAAAGTTTAAATTTTATATACTTTAATTTATATTCATTTTTTATATGAATTAATAATTTAGAAGCTACAACAAATAAATCATGATAAGAAAATTCATTTTTTAATAATTCAATTGATTTTCCTATACAATATGTTAATAAACCTATATTAATAAGTAATATGAAAAAAAAAAAAAAAAAAAAAATTATGATGGATATTGTATTTATAAATTATTAATATATATATATATATATATATATAATAAGAAAGTGATATAAATTAGTTACCTCTAACTTCATTATTTATTAAAAGTTCATAACTATTTCTATCTTTAATATCTGGAGAAAAGAAAAAAATAGATGGGCTAAGCGGTTTCTTAATCTTCTTATTATCATCCTTGTAATTATGTAACTCATAATCTAATGGTCTTTTAAGGTCTTCTATATATACAGAATCAACATTTCTATCTCTAATTTTTCCAAACGTTCTAAGTGAATTAAAATATTTTTTACTTGATTCCAAATGACTATTCTTATATATTTCGGTTACATTAATATTTTTATTATAGGTAATAGATGTAAAAGTAGGAACGAAATATGAAGTATAAGTAGTATCAAAAATAACACATAGTTGCTTACCTCCTTCTAATTTTTTTATTATATTAAATATTTCATTAGAATATACATAATTATTTTTAGAGTGATCTTGAGGTAATAAAGCAAAATTATGATTTTCTGAAAATTTTGTATCAACTAATTTTATGGAATAACCACAGAAATAAAAAAATAAAACATCTCCATTGTTAGAATTAATTATAAAATTATTCAAGTTATTTAATATATTTTTTTTATTAGCCTTTTGTGCCATAAAATTCTTATAGCTTATATTACAATCATTTAATAAAACTAATTCATTGAAGTCAAACTTTTCTATTAAATATCCGCATAATTGTAAAGTGTCATTTATGCATCCTTCTAATAATCCGTTATAGTTTAATGTAACTAGTAATGCTTTTTTTCTTCCTATATATGGTTTTTCTACTTCTGATAAAAAATATTTATCCGATAAATTAATTTTGTAATTACTTTTCTGATCTTCCATACTTTCTATTTTTGTTTTCATATAAGAAATAGTCTTATCATCACAAAAGTTTGATGAACGAGTATTATTTTCAAATTCTCTATAAGTGTCCAATTCCTTTTCAGAAGGTACACTTTTCTTATTACATCTCTTTTTATTATTATCATTATTATGAATTTCATTTATATTATTGTCTTTTTTATTATTTATAATAATATTATTATCATCATCAACTAATTTAAAATCTTTTTTAATGTTTAATACTTCATTAGTTTTATTTTCATTAAATAATAATGAGGAAATATATGAATTCTTCACAGTATAATATGACTCTGAAGTATTGGAATTTCTACTTCTTGACACTTTTTCTAATTTTATTTTTTTATCTAGTTTTTTTTTATATTTTTTTAATTGTTCAAATAATTTTTTATTTTTTGTTAAATTATTAATGCACTGAATACATGTATTTAAGTCATCATATACTTTTGATTTTAATAATAATAACTCATCAAAATTTTGATTTACATTTCTTGAGTTATTTATATCTTCAATTTCATGTATCTTTTCAAATGCATCATTAATTAATGTTTCATTTTTTGTTAACTTCTCTTCCTTTTCACATATATTTCTGTTTAATTTTTGAAACATTGTATTATTTGTAGAGTCGTTTTTTAAATCTATTATATTTTTAACGTCTTTAGAAAAGTCAGCTTTGTTGTTATCTTTTATAGACAATTTTTGTGAATTATTTTTTTCTTTTATTGAATTATCTTTATCCGTAATTGATACAATAGAACGAACATAAAAATGATCGTCACTATTCTTATAAGTTTTCTTACTTTCATCATTTAGTAAATTTAAAAGTGTAAATTTCTCATTATTTTCATTTATATAGTTATTACACATTTCTTTATTACTTATATGTAATATATTTTTTGATATATTATTATCATTCATATCTTTTGAGTCATCTTTCATTATATTATTTTCAGTAGATTTCACATCTATATTTTTGTTAATATAATTATTTGTATTTGAATTTTTTAATTTATCCTCATTGAAAAAAGTGTAATTTAATTTTTCTGCTTTTATATTTTCATAAATGCATGTATTTTTTTGATTTGATTTTTTTAATTCACTATTTTTTTCACAAAAAAATTCATTCAGCTGAGAGTGGTTTAGTATATTGTTTTTATTTTCAAAACTTACTTTCGTATTTTCATTTGCATGTAAGTTTTTGCTTTTGATTACATTGTTTTCTTTTTCGGATTCATGTATGATATTTATTCCTTTAATTATAATATTACCCTTTTCTAAAAAAGAATAATTCATATTTTTATTATCACTCACATTTTTATCATTATTATTTTTAAAAATATTATTTATATGTTTATTTGTATGAATTAATGCTAAATTTGAATTATTTTTATTTTGCAAAATATTATCATTTTTTATACTTGATGAATTTTTTGATATTTTTTCTGAATCATTTATAAAATTATTGTATTTAATTGTGCTATATTTACTAATATTTTGTTTTGCATTATTATTGTCGTTGTAATTACACGTTTTTTCTGAGTTACTGTAGTTTACTCCCTTATCATGTGTATTTATGGAACTATTTAAAATATTATGCTTGTGTAAAATATTATTTATTAAATTTGAATTTATATTCCTATTTATTTTTAATTGATTTTCATTATTTTCTTTATATGTATTTTGTGGATTACTTGTACTTCTTATATTTTGATTTTCATTAATACAAGCATAATCCATTTTTAATTTTTCGTTAATATTACTGTTAACTTTTTCAATAATTCTATTTTGTATCTTTTCTTTTTCTAAAAGTTCCTCTGATTCCTTTTTAGGATTTCTATAAAGATAAAGGTCTTTTCTGCTGTAATTTTTTTTATTTGCATTATTATTTTCTTTTAAATTAATGGCTTTACAAATGTTCATATTTTTAATTTTCGAATCTTTTTGAGTATTTCCGCTTGTAAATTGATAGATGTTTGTTAATATCCTTTCATGATATTTATGTTTATCATATAAAAATAAATTTTTTGAATTAGGAGGACTTTTATCATTAATTTTTCTTAAAAAGGAATTTCTGTTAGAAAATAACAATTTTCTAGTATCTTCTCTTTCATTAAAATTATGAATATTATTTGTAGATTTCTCTTGATTCTTAAGAGGCATGTAATTTTGTTGATATTCTTTTAGATTATTAATATTATTCTTACTATCAAAAAGTACTTTTTCGTTTTCTATTAATCTATTTATTAAATAATTTTGATTATTTTTAAGAGATGATTCAATGTTTTCTTTTTTTATGACATGTTTCTCTAAATTATTTTGATTTTGTGACTTTTTTATACTTGAAGGAAATATAAAGTTATATATTTTATTAAAAGCATTATTATTTTCACTTTTTGTATTAGATGAATTGTCATTTATTTTTTTTTTTTGTAAGATAGAATTAACACTATTTTTATTTACAGACGAATTTTTTTTTAATTTTTCTAACTCTTTAAGAAATTCAGAAGAATTAAGAGAATGTAATACACTTCTATTTATGTCTTTTTTTCTATTAAAAATTTTTGATATAGTCTTTTTGAAGTATTTATCATTTTTAGTCCCATATTTTAATATGTGAAGATTTTCATAATTCTGAACATTTTTTTTTTGATGAGATGCATTTTGAGCAACATTAATAGAAGTAATATTATTATTTAATTTTTTTATATTACTATTATTATTATTATAAAAATATATAGGAGGATAAGTATTTAAAAAAATGGGATTATTATTATTACGAAATATACATTTATTATTATTATATGAAAGATTCCTATTTTTATTTAAATGTATTCCTATGTTAGATTCATCACTTATATTTTTATTAATATTTCTTTCAAAAAAATTATTTAATGAATTATTATATAAATTATTATTATTTAATAAATCTCTAACATCAAAATATTTTTTATTATTGTAATTATTTAATTCCTTTACACAATTATTTATAATATTATTTTCATATTTTTTATTATCATTATTAATTACGGTTGAGTAATTATAACAATCCACATTATTAATGTTACTACAATTCAAATAATTTTTAGTAGATATATTATCATAAATAAAATTCCTTTTATCACAATTATTCATTAAAATAGTTAAATCTTTTTTTATTCCAATACCGGTAGTAGTGTTATAACCTTGAGGTTTTAAAATTTTACTGGTGTAAGAGTTAAAAACTTTATCTTTATATTCTGATCTTTTTTTTTCATTTTCATTTTCGTTCTCTATAAAAAAGAAATAAAATAAGTAAAAAGACTTGATAAATAATCGATGATATTGTATATTTATAATCTATATAGAAAATATAAGAAATAATAAAAATAAAAATAAATAAATACATGCAGTAATGGCATATTTCTATAATGGTTGCATTATTTTGAGAAATATTCTTAATGAAATATACTCCATATGTTTATAAAATATTTTATAACAATAAAGACAACATATCCTTGGTGAAAATAATATTATTATAAAAATATATTAAAAAAAAATTAAATTAAATATAATTTTTCGGAGTACATTTAGCCGCATCTTTTTAAAAAAATTTATTTTCAAAAGTTCATAGGTATATATATATATATATATAGTATTTAAGTATTTATATAATATATAATTTAAAACTAAAATTTTATCAAAAATTAACATGTGATTAAAAAAATTTATAATTTTATAAAAAACAAATGTGCTATTAAAAAAAATTACTATCTTTTATCTTAAAAATAAATTGTTCAATAAAATTTTATTTTATCATAAGAATTAGAAAAAAAAAGAAATATACAATTTAAAATTAAGTTACAATGAAAATATAATACTTTAAAATATAAAAAATAATTAAATAATATAAAGAGTATTTTTAAAAATAGAAAAAAATTGTTTATTCAACTATTAAAATAATTTATACATATCAAAAAAAAAACATGAAAATTAAAAATATTATTCTTCATTCACTTGTATATATATATATATATATATATATATTCATATTTAAAGACAAATATAAATAAAATCTTAAAAAATAATTGTATATTTTTATTTTATTAATAAAAAAAAAAAAAAAAAAAAAAAAAAAAAAAGTAAAAAAATTAAAAATAATATTATTACCATGTTTTATTAATTTATTCTAGTATATTTTAAGAAAATAACTCAAAAACCATATATCATTTCATAAAATTATAAAATAAATAAAATATATAAAAATAAATGAAAATTATACCTTTTATTAATATCCTTCCTCTTGAATCGCATGATATGTTGGCAGTAGAAGTATCAAAATTTTCTTCAATTTTTTTGTTTTTCTTATATATGTTTATATTTTCATTAGAGCTATAGAGAGGAGAATATGTATTACTACTATTCATTTTATTTTTAGATTATTTATATATACATAATAATTCTAATTTTATAATAATCAAGCATTTTCAATAATATTTTTATCATAACATTATATAGATGAATTGAATAGGATGATTTTCTAATAAATTTTTGCTTTAAAAATTTTATAAATAACTACTAGTTCTCTATATCTTTTCAAAGATATATATATCTAAATAAATATAATTGAGTTTCTAAATTATGAGTATGTTATTTTTCATATTCTCCATACAAGAAAAAAAAAAAAAAAAAAAAAAATGTTTATTTTATATAAAAACTCTAAAAAAGTACTATGTTTTTATAAAAAATATTAAAAATGACACATATATCTGTAAAAAAATAATAGAAATATGAAGAATATTGTAAAATATATATAATAAAATATATTTTAAAACAAACGTTTTAAAATGTTCTGTTAATAATTTTTTTTTCTAAATAATTTTTAAATACTAATATTTATATTAATATTTCAAAGAATAACTAAACATAAGAAGAACAAAATTAAAAAAAATAAAAGTCACATACATATTAGCGTCTACGTGTGCACATAAATGAAGTTGTATTTTATAAATTTTTAAATTATTTAAAAATAATATTTTATTATATTTTTTCTTTTTTTATAAGAAAGTACTGAAGATGTGTGCACAAAAAAAAAAGTGATAATAATAAAAAAAATGTTAAAATAATAAATAATTCATCTCATTATTGTAAATATAATATATATATATATATATATATATATATATGTAATTTTTTTTTTTTTTTTTTTTTTTTTTTTTTTGCACACAATTTTTTTTCTTTTAAAAAAAAAAACTCTCTAATTTTGTCCATTTTTATTTTCAACAAAAATAATAGAATATATCTTAATGATATCTTTCTAGATGTGTAATGAATGTATGCAAATTTCCTTTATATTTGATAACTTTTATTATTTTACTTTTATTTTTTACTGTATTTATAATATATTTTGAATGCACGAAAAAATGGGATAATTCTATCATTGAAATAGTTTTTTAAAGAATTAAAGTATCTAACTTTTACTAAAATAAAATTATAGAAATATGTATTTTTGAATCGTAAGATTTATTAAATTTATTAAATTTAAATTAATAATTTAGAAGTATAGTTTTAAATGATTTCTACCTGATTGATATTAGTGTTTAAAAAAGATATATAACAAATACATAATTTAAATTATATGCATTTAAAAAAAAAATTATTTATATAATTATATAAAGGTTATTATTTAAAAGTAAAAAAAAAAAAAAAGTTATTATACATTAGGTATATTTTAATTAGACAAAATTTTTAATCGAATAATTAAAAAGAAGAAATTGCAGATCATATATAAATAATATTTATATAAATTTTTCAGTATATTAAACATTTTATTTAATTAGGTATTTAATAATTCAATTAAAATATTGGTAAATTTTAAGTTTATAAAGTTAATTATTCATATGAATATATACAAAATAGTTTTAACTGAAGTATAATTTATGGAACTTTTTAAAAATATATCTTTGAATTAATGAACTTTCACATAGGAATTTTCTTATATGAAAAAAAATGAATTTTATTATATGGTAGAAAATGTAGTATATTAAAATTAGGGTATTATTTATTTAAAGAAAAATATAAATTTATTTTTATTTTACTTTTTTTTTCTGTACCTTAATTATAATGGAAGTAAAGTAATTAAGACTTCAATTTTTAATCATATATTTTGTTATTTTTTTTTTTAACAACATTCTTATTATTCTTTTGAGAAATATATAATTCACTTAATTTTTTTAAATAAAAAAATTCATTTTATAAAGATAATTCCTTTTTTTAATTAAATCGTTAAACATCTATTTAGATAAAGTACTTTTCGTCAATTTCAATAAATTAAAAAAAAAAAAAAATATAGAATAATAAAAGGAAAAAAAATTAATAAATAATTTTGTAAAAAGATAAACATTTTTTTTTTTTAAAATGAGTATTTAGCTTATCATTTTCATAATTATTTTTTTTTTTTTATGTAACTATGTCTTTTAGGATATCTGTTCTGTAGTTTTTATAATTACATTTATTTTACATTATAAAATAATAAAGTAGTTTTTATATTATAAATTATTAATCTTGTTAATATTGTATCATATATATATAAATAGAAAAACAGTTGTATAAAAATAAAAATTTTGCATTATAATTAAATTTGTATTTAATTTATTTTAATTTAATTTCATTAATTGTTTTATACAAACATTAGTTATGTATAATCAAAAATTCACATTTAAAAAAAAAATATTTTAAAATCTTTAAGTAAAATTTAGACTACTTTTTAAATATACAATAATTGAAATTATTAGTAATTTTTTACATATGATGAAAATAAATTTAAATAAGACTAAAAAGAATAAATTATTTTTGATTACTTAATAATTAAAATAATTTCAATGAATTATAATACAAACTATATATTTATTTTTAAAAATTTAACACAAATGAAAATATGGGTAATGTGAGGCTCGAACTCACGACCTCGGGATCATGAGACCCGCGCGCTAGCCATCTGCGCCAATTACCCTTAAATAAAAAATGAAAAAAAAAAGTTATATTAAAAGGTATTAATTATTTTAACATCATTAATTTTATACATAATAATAAATTATCATTATATACAATAAATAAATATGAAAACTCAGTTTATAATTTTTTAATTTTGATTAAACTTATATTCTTTCAATATAAAAGAGGTTACATCTAAGAATGTATAATTCATGAAAAATATAATTACTTTATAATGTATTTTAAAAAAGTTATTCTTAAGTATTATTATTTTTCATTAAAGTAACAATTTTTATTCAAAATAATATTTAAATATGTTCATTTCATACACCTTTGAGAGTTACATATTTAATTTTTTATTCAAAGTTTTTATAGCTCTTCATGAATTAAAAAACTTAAAAATAAATTTTGAACAGAATTTTTGTTTTAGCATTTATTAAGAAATGCTAATTATTTATATATATAGAATTATGATAAGTATATTAAATTTAATTAAATATACTTTCATAAAAACAAGAAGTAATATATATATATAGCTACTAGAACTTAAAAAAAAAAAAAAAATATATTTTCTTAATATATGAGTTATAATGCAATTGTAAATCTAACATTTTTAAATTTGCAAGAATTATTAAATATATAGATATATTTAGTTTTCATTATCATAAATTATTTATGAATATATTTTTTAAAATATAATTAAAATATATTAAATCTTACATTAAAGTAATTCTCTTCGCATTTAAAATATATTTTTTATTTTTTAATTCATATCTTTTTTAAAAATTAATACATAAAATATTTAAGTATTGAATAAATTTATATGAAAAGACTCATTAACACAATAACTTAAAAAAGGTAAAACATATAAAATTAAATTAAAAAAATGTTTTTTAATTATGTGTGTGTGAATACATTTAATCACATATAAATTGATTTTATATTTTTTATACTTCAAGTATTATATATAAGTATTTAAATGTGTATACATGTATATCTTTTTTATTTTTTTTTTTTTTTTGTGATTATATATATATATATAAATATATATTTATATGAACTAACTGTTATTCATTAAATTATAAGTTGCACCGATGATTTAGCATGGTTGCTAAGTATGACTTCAAATCATTTGGCGTAGTGACACTGCGCAGAGGTTCGATTCCTCCTTCGGTGCGGTAGATAAAAGTATATTTCATTAAAAATTTAAAAGTTAATTTTTATTTTTAGATATATATTATTTTTGATTTTAATTATCAATAGCATTGTAAAGTAAAATTATTTATAAGGAAAATGTTAATGCAATAAAAAAAAAAAAAAATAATTTTATAAAATTACGGAACTATTATACCATGCAACGTGTAAAAGCAAGTACAACATAACACAATTTAAATATAATATTGTATTAAGTTAAAGTATTGAAATTTGTAATATTGAATATATAGAAAAATGAATATTTAAGATAAAGATAATTTTTTTACTGTATATATATATATATGAAGAGTTATGATGGAAATTTTTTAAGTTTGAAATATTATGTCTTTCTAATATTTATATGCCTACATTTTTTTTAAAATGCTACTTTATTATAAATTAGTTATTTTCGTTAAAAACAATATTTTTCAAAATTAAGTTTTATTTATATATATTATGTCTTGATTTAAAAAATATTATGAATATATTTTAGAAATATAAATATGTATCTATTTTGTGAGAAAGTAGACATTTTGGAAATTTTTCATTCAAGAAAGAAATTTATTTTTATTAGTACATTTCATTATTAAGTATTAACTTTTATTTAAATAAATGTATTTTTAAATTTAATGTTTTTTTTTCTATTTATCATATAAAGACTTGTGTTCATATCTTTTATAGTTAATCATAATATATTTTTGAGTTATCATACGTCATTCATATAAATGAAAACAGACATTTTATCCTTAGTGTAATTTCTTCTCATAAAAAATTGAAAAACAAGGAAATACTGTAAATATAATCATAATTTATTTTATCAAACTTTTAGTATATACTTAAACATAATAATTTTTTTTTAAATCTTTTCAAATATTATTCAAAATAATAATATGGAAACACAACGCAAAACACATAAGAGTACACATAAGAATTTTTTTTCAATTAGTAAAATTTTTACTTATTTTTTTAGAAATATTTATTATAATTAAAAATTATTATTAAAGAGAACATATAATACACACATTTAAAATTATGATGTAGTAATTAAAAAATGTATTATAAAAATATGAAATGTACAATATATTAATAAAAATGGACTTCAATAATTAGCATTAAAGAAATGTAAAAGTTTAAATTTAAAAAAAATAAAAATATATATAAATATGTAAAAAAAAAAATTTTCTATATTTTACATGGTAGTTACATTAATTTTCGTTATAATTAAAAGGAAAAAATGTTACATAAAAATGTAAGGAATACAAAATTAATATTTTTATTTTACTTGTTTATCTCTTAATAATATATTTTTTATATTAAAATATAGAATTTTTCTTTGAATTTTTCTAAAATTTATCTCAAATTATAATTTTTAAAATTATATATTTGCCAAATTTCCAATTATGAAGAATTGAATATATTATGAAATGACCAAATTCTTAATATAATTCATCATAAAATTACTATTATACGTTTTCCTATTTAAATTTTAATAATTGAGTATACATGTTTTTGTTTTTTAATTCCTTCAGAAATTACAATTCTCTTTATTTATTATTTTTTTTTTTTTTTTTTATATTAATATAATTTTTCTTATATAAAATCCTTTTATATTTCTAATGAATGATTTCATTACATTATATTTATTTTATTTGTCCATATTTTTATGCATTATTTTACGAAATTTTATTAAATATTAATATCTATATATAATACAATGTTTCTTTTAAATTACTTTTTTTTTTTAAAAGAAAGTTTTTATATAATGAAAATTTTATATTTTATTCACCAAAATATTAAAGAACAAATTATATGCATTTGCATAATTTTATATATTTTTCATACTTAAAATTTAATAAATATTTTATTAAAAAGATATAAAATAAAACTTTAATGAAAATTTGAATACTACTTGTAAAAAAATAATAAATTTTTTTAAAAATAAATTTTTTTTCTCTTTTTTTTTAATAATTTATTTATGTAATTTTCTTATGTTTTCTTACTAAAAAGATATAAAAAAATTGTGCACAAAAAAAAAAAAAAAAAAAAAATTGAATAAAATAAAATAATAAAGAAAAAGAAAAACAGAAAGTAAAAAAATGTAAAAAATCAAAACGAAAGAATAAATAAATAAAAATTATGTAAATAAAAATATAATAAAAATAAGATATTAAATAAGATAAAATAAAAAAAAGCATTAATACAAAATTAATAATTTACAAATAAAAGAAAATAATAAAAATAATACAAATCTATAAAAATTGGAACACATGAGTAAAATATAATGATATAAAATTAACTTCTAAATATTAAAGAAAATATAACTTACATATTTTTTTTTTTTTATTTTTTTTTTTTTTTTTTTGATGTTCTTGTTTTACTGATTAAGAAAAGCGATGAAGAATAAAACAGAGGTAAAAATATATAATTTCAATGAGTTAAAATATATTTTATTAATACTAAATCTTTAATTTCCTAATTTATATATTTTTGTTGAATATATCAAATGTAAAATATTTTATTTTTTATGTATATGATTAATTCTACATACTAATTTTTTTTTTTATTAAGTATGATTAAATAGAATAGTATGTTTCTTTTTCTTATACATATATATATATATATATAAAAAATTAAAAAAAAATACAAATGGATTCAAATTCAATAAAAGTTTGCATATGCACATTTATGTGTGTGTGAAAATTAAAAAAAAAATAATTATTTTTTTATATATACACATATGGATATTTTTTTATACAGGAATTAGATCCTGATATGCTTGGACTTTTAAAATGTGCTTTTAATGGAGGTGTAAAAGTAAAAAGTGCTGCTGAAGTTGGTAGAAGAGCTGTAGAATATTTCAGAGGAGACGATTTTTTTAATTTTATAAATACTAATAAAGATATGTTAAAAAAAAAATTCCCAAAATTATTTGTAAATAGAAATTTAATTGATAGTAAGGATATTGAGGACTTTGCTGATATTTTTATACAAAAAGGATATATATATAAAGCCCAATATAAACCAATTAAAGGAGTAATTGAAAAGGACGAAAACGGGATATATAAGAGACCTAAATGGCCAAAAAGATTAATTATGACTTCAAAGCAAAATTTTGATAAGACAAGTTTTTATATTTTAGTTCATGAAAGAAATAAAAAATTGCAGTATGTTATGCTAATAGGTCTAATAACAATAGTTTTAATATGTTGTATGTTCCCAGTATGGCCACTAAAGCTTAAATTAGCATTATGGCATCTTTCAGTTGTTTTTATAACAATAATATCAGTAATAATTGTAGGAAGATTATGCACTTTTGTCTTTTTTTGGTTTTTTGGAGTTGATTATTGGATCTTTCCAAATTTATTTGATGAAGACTGTAATGTTATTGAATCATTTTACCCCATCCAATCATGGGTTTATAGAAAAGATACTTGGCTTCTTTTTGTTGCAAGAATTTTCACTGCTATTTTATTAAGTATAGGAATTCATCAATTAGGAAAAACGCATTCTATTTCAGACATTCGAAATTTTGCAACTCAATCCTTTATTGATATTTTAGAATGGGGTAATAAGAAATTAGCCGCTTCACCAGAAAATGTATCAATGTACAAATCTATTGACGCAAAAGCTACATTTGAAGGTGAAAAAGAAGAAGAAGAAGAAGTTATATATGATGAAAATGAAGAAAATTATGACTGCCTAAAAAAATGTGGTTTCCAAACATTCGAAGAATTAGTGAGGAGATGCTTTTTAAAATGTGAATGCATGGAGGTATTGATACTGATGATTTCATATAAGAAAAAAGGAGAAAAAAATAAAAATACATATTTTAAAAAAATTCCATCATTTTTATGTTTCATTTTCATTTTAATTATCTATCATTTTAATTATCTATAATTTTTTTTTTTTTTTTTTTTTTAGAAAATTATAAAGTCTGATTGTTATGAAAAAAGATGTTCTAAAGTAACAAAAGATGTTTTAGATGAAGCACACAAAGAAGCTTGCTTTGAGAAATCAGAGAGTTAAGCATGTGCAAAAAAGATAAAAATATAGAATTCTAAATAATTTTGTAAATTTGATTATAAATAGGCTTGGGATAATAATGATTCTATACACTTTTTTGAATCATTTTTGTGTCATTTTTCTTATACTTCTTTTTAAAGAATTAATAATGTTTCTATATTCGTTTCATTTTAATGTATTTTGTTATTTTATTTTTCATTGATTTATATCATTTTAATCCTTTTTTTTTTTTTTTTTTTTTTTTTTTTTTAATGAAAAAATTTACAGATTGTAATTTTTTGTATTTAAAATATAAAAAATTAAAAAAGAAAAATTTTTTTTATGGCATTT